TGGATTACTTATTTGAATTGCTTAAGTGAGCTATGCAATACACTTAGTTCGATCATGAATTTTCTTCTCAAACAATGGCATATTTTATTAAAACTTTTATTTTTGCGTGCATTTGTTTATTAGGAAACAAGAAAAACACATATTTCCTTACAATTTTATATTTTAGTTTTTTCATTTTTGGCCGGCTAAAATCAATTTGGACCCACTGTGCGCTCGTCGCACACTCTCCTCTCTTCCTCGTCGCGACCTTGCTTTTCTCCTCTTCCGCGAGAGCGGTCCGTACTTTGCTCCGTTTTCGGAGATGTAGGAGAGCTGAAAGGCGCAACATTTGTCAGTAAGACAAACGAGAACCGCCGTAGTTCCGGCGGGTTCAATTTCCGATCCGAATGCTCGAGACGGAATCTCGCGAGCCTTGAGAATAAAAAAAAAATTGTTGCCACTTCTTATTTTTTTTTTATTTTTTAAGTACATCGATTATTTACACTATTTGTTGGAGTAATGGCAATTAAATTTATTGTTTTATATATCTGTACCTTAGAAGTAAAGAATCGTTATTATCTCTCAACTTGGATTTCCATTATTAGGGAAAACAAGGTTTAAAGTTTCATTTTTTCTACGAAAATTTCTAATACGATTTTTTCTAAATATTGTATCTTAGGAATTAGTAATAATGGACGTAAAACTCTTTATATCATTATACAACTTAAGCTCCTGTGTTGGAAAAAGTAAATTAATTCCATTTCGACAAAAACTGAAAGTACGATTCTTTACCTTTAAGGTACAAAAGATATATATTTATTTTAAAAGTGGCGCCCGCGTATACCGAACAACACCAAATTGTTTTTATCTATCGCACGAAGGTTCGAACTCGATAAAATTACCGATCTTGTTCGGTGATAAAAGGAATCGCGAGGGAATCTTGTCGAAAACTCGGGGACACCGCAACTGTCGGCGAGAATCGCTTTATTCGTGATTGCGCGAGTATAATGGACGAAATGTAAATCTTTTTAGGTCATCAATGTAACTTGGTACGGCACTGTCCAAGTGGTTGCGAAAGAACGTGTGTTTATCCCGCGCGCGATAAGCGTATTTTGATCGTAGAGAATATCTGCTGACACTCATTCTTCGCGATGACTCGCACGCGGTCGCTAATTGTCCGCTATTGTCGAAACCGAAAGTTGTTGATTACCTCGCGGAGAGACATGACTCTGCTCTCTGAACAGCAGCACCATTGAACCTCCGTCGCGAATAATACCAGAATAACGCATTTAAAATATGAACAACTTCCATAAAATCGCTATTTTGTAAACTAATCGAATCGAATTAAAATAGGATTAATGATTATCTTGTTGAAAAATTGTAATCGTTATTGCAAAGCAGTTGGTGTTCTGTGTTATCTTATATGTGTGCAATCGATCTGCCTCAGATCTGTCGAAGAGGAAATTTCTAAACGGGCTTTTCTGGTGCATTTTTAGCCGCATGCTCTGGTTGTATGTGTTATGTGCTTGACATTCTTCATTTCACAGATTATTACAGAACTTTATTTCAAGATAAAGCTATGTATTGCGTAGAATGTTCGTAACACGCGTAAACGTGTATTAACTATTGTAAGTTATCGTAAACAGCAGTCGTAATAGCCCATTTGTACATAGGTGTCTATAGAGAAAATTTGAGGATGATTCGGTAGGAATACCCGGTATACGATTAGAAATAAACGAGAGAAATGTCAATCGAGAATTTTTTGACGCGCCAAAGTCAACTTAATTTCTAGACCGTATTTAACATAATTTCTAGACCTGCTCGTCGAAGCGTATCCGACGTTAAAATTGTAGGAATGACAGCGTGTCACGCAAGAGCTAAGAGAACCGAAGCAAAGATTCACTTTGTTAACAATAGCAGAGTTACGAGGCAAAGGCGGGCGCGACTAGGCGCGCACTTTCCACGGATATGGAAAATTTTATTACGCAAAAAGTTACGCCGGGGCGCAGCTCGCTCGGCGAATAGATAGAAAAAAGAGAGTTGACGATTAATTATGATCTTTATATTGAATTGTTTCTCATTGCAGATCATAATTACCAATTCGCAGCTTGCCGCGTGCAAATGCAATTGCTCAGATATGTCTGCAACCGCGTGAAGATCCTTAAGACTGCCCGTCCTCTTACCAAGTTACCCTTTCAAGTACCATGTGTGGAAGTAGTAGTCTATAAGTCCCACTGAAAGGAGGATGCCAGTAACTAAACGCATTCCATACCCTTCGCGGTAAGTAAGCCTACGGTTTACATATTACGTAATGTAAGCCACGACAAAACTATAATTCTTTTCTCTATCACGGCTTTGTGTTCAGATGCGATTTGGATTTTCTTGTAGAAAACGCACCGTTTGTAAAGAAAACACACGAAGCGTGCCGTCACGTTTGTGACGAAAACGAAAATAAGCTTCTTTTGTAAAGAATTACTTTGTAGAGAATAAAGTAAACGGGACAGATTGGCTGTACAGATATGTGCGACAAGGTGATGTATCAAGCGCTTCCTTCACTCGCAAAATCGGCAGGCTCGAAATGCCGTGCCGCTATCTCTGAATGATGGCAAAATTACAAAAGAAAGCGTGCCAAATACATTCATCTGACGATTTAGGTCTTAATGCGAATATATTAACAATATTAAGTCACCTCGCTCTCGGCATAAAATACTGAAAAATAATGAAACTTCGCTGTACAGTCTCACCCATATCTGATATCTTTTTGCTTTTTGGGACTAGAAAGTATTTCCGGTTACAGACATCCTTCTGTTCAACGTTTCCATAAGTTATTAACATATTAATCCTGTTTTAATCTCCAAATGAAATCTCCTTTTCCTTGGTGGTAGCTACAATTATGCAAGATTAGGGAAGCGCTCAGGGAATGAGTATAATTTGTACAGTTTTAACGCAACGTGTACTACATGATTATTCATCCTCCACATTTTACTCTTAAGATCTCCTAACTAGGGCTATTATGACTGCATTGTTTCTGAGGATTTATCTTTCCTTCCTGTAAAAATTTTAATAAAATGAGAGCTCTCACTGCTTCATGGGCTTAATAAGATTTATAGTGCCACTTTGCAATTGGTTCTTGGTTAAATTAGTTGTTTTACAAAGAATTAACAAATATATCTCAATAATTTGTCACATTATTCTGTATAGGGTGATATGCCACTACCATCATTTCTTTCAGCCATAAGTATTACAAATCAAAAGAGAAACAAATTCATAATTACTTAAATAAAAGAGATTCTAAATATGAAATTATTAAATATCTCAGCAAATTAAGCCTCGAAACTACAAATAAATGATAAACCCATTCCCCAACAATTAATTTCAGTTTCTAACAGAGGTTTAATTTGATGCTTGATTACTATAGTACTTAATATCGAAAAATATTTGCAGTTAATATATTCTTTTATTTGTAAAAAAAAAACCGACTTCGAATTCATCGGAGAATCTATTTAGCGTCAATAAGAATCTTTGAAAAAAAAGTGGTAGTGGAAGATCACCCTATGTGTTTATGTACGAACGGTTTATTATACCGTATGTTTCACAATTAGATCCGACGGCGGTAGTAGCGAGAGCCCATTGCTCGTGGAAGAAGGTGAGACAGTCGGTGCACCTCACAGTCCACGCAATATACACAGTCACAGCCATTCACATGGCAATCCACACCGATCTCACAGTTATCATCATGAAAAGCCCAAACAATTAGTGAAATACGGCGAACTAGTTATACTTGGGTAAGGATTTCCAGCAAATTAAGCGGATGAAAGAAAGCAGAAGGTTAATCGACTAACGAATCTTTCTGACGACTTTCACAGGTACAATGGCTACCTTCCACCTGGTGATAGGGGAAGGAGGAGAAGTAAATTCGTATTATACAAGAGACCCGTGCCAAATGGTGTTAAACGTAGCAAGCACTACATCGTTAAAACGCCCCACAGTTCGCAAGCCATCCTCAACACGAAGCAGCACTCGATTTCGTACACACTCTCCAGAACACAGGCTGTTATTGTCGAATACACGGAAGATGAAAAAACGGACATGTTTCAGGTAAACCCGAAATACTCTATCTTATGGGTTTCGCAGAGTTAGGATTCATGCTCATAATGAGAGGAATTAGCAACAAGGAATTAAACATAGAGAGAATTCATAGTCGCATCTTATTTCAGGACCGTCTTGAAATAATATGCGACTATGAATTCTCTCTATGTTTTATTCCTTGTTCTCCTCTCATTGCGCATGTGCCTTTATTCTTAGTTTCTTTATTAACTTTTCATATCAGTGTGTTCATTATATGGAGGGGTAAAAGCCTAAAATATCTGTACAATATATAAATTAGACTCATATAAATTATGGCCCGTGTGCATAGATGCAACCAAATTGCATCTGTGCACACGAGTCAATATTTTAAAAAATTTGGCTTACACCACTATGGGCTCTTACCCCACCATATGTAGTTGTACATATGTGATGTATAACTCTAAATCTCATGTGTCCGATAGATCGGTCGTTCGTCCGAGTCGCCAATCGATTTCGTAGTGATGGACACGTGTGCGGGCGGTGGCGACGGCGGGCCTGCTAACGAAGGACGTGTCGCCCAAAGCACCATCAGCAGGTTCGCTTGTCGAATCCTGGCGGACCGATCGGACCCTAGAGTCGCCAGGATCTATGCCGCGGGCTTCGACAGTTCGAGGAACATTTTTTTAGGGGTGAGATCCGGAATCTACGATTGATCGTACGGACTTAGTACATCTAATTTAGCAAAGGAACAGGAACTTTATCAACAATCTTACGCAGGAAAAAGCAACCAAATGGCAGGAAAATCGCGAGATCGATGGACTTACGACAAACGGAGTCCTGATAATGCATCCGCGGGGCCAGTTTTGTGGTGGTGAGGCCCAATGCGGTTTCTGGCGAGAAGTTAGCGTAGGTGGCGGAGTTTTCTCGCTCAGAGAAAGTAGGAGCGCTCAGCAGAAGGGTAATGTCGTGGAAGATGAGAGCAATGTTCTGCAAGATGGTACTCTCATCGACCTCTGTGGCGCTACTTTGCTCTGGCGATCAGCCGAAGGCCTCGCGAAGTCTCCGGTAATTTACAACGTTTTTGGAAAGATTTTATAAAGTTATATTGCAAAATTTACATTCGCTGATTGCACGTTTCTCTCACAGACGAAACAGGATCTAGAGGAATTAGTTGACGCTATAAACGCCGGCAGGCCGCAGTGTCCTGTGGGCTTGAACACCTTGGTCATACCACGCAAAGCAGCTTCGGATTCGACGCAGCAGCAGCCATACGTTTACCTTAAATGCGGTCATGTACAAGGGCATCACGATTGGGGCCAGGAAAAGGATAAGGTTACGAGAAGGTGTCCCATGTGCCTTGTCGCAGGGGCGGTAGTCAAATTGTCTATGGGAATAGAGCCTGCCTTTTACGTAGACTGCGGACCGCCCACTTACGCATTTAGTCCCTGTGGACATATGGCTACAGAGAAAACTGTCAAGTTAGTAACGCGCGTCAATCGCTAATCCTTTACACTTTTGAATAAGTTATAGGTACATTTCAAGCATGTTATTCGTTTTTCCACGATTTTCTCATTTGCTGTTTGTTCTTTTCTGTTTTGCAGATACTGGGAAAAAGTAGCCATTCCACACGGCACAAACGGCTATATCGCGATCTGTCCCTTCTGCGCGGTACCGCTCGAGGGAACGCCAGGATATGTAAAACTAATTTTTCAGGATAATGTAGATTGAAAATATAAAATATCTTACATGTAGAAATTAATAACTTCTTAAGAAATATAAGGATTATTAAACTCAACCGAGAAAGAGCGATCGTACTGAATACCCACAGACATTTCCATTTTTCTTTCTTATATATCATAGAACGATGTAATATACTGTGCGCAACTATTCGCGATTATGTAATTTACTAGTAAATTAGTAAATGTATATAACAGTCAATTTTAATTAATAATGAATAAATCTTGCAATGTTAAAAAGCTTATTGTTGTCATATATGATTTGTAAGAAGTCCGACGGTCTTGTAATTTTGAGAATGTTTGTCATAGAATGGTCGAAGATACCACTAAGAAATTATAGAAGACTAGACAGGATATATGTTTTTAATATTTTATTTCCAAAATACACGTAAAGTAATGCTTACTCGTTCTCTTCCGAACGTAAACGTGCACTGGCATTGGTTACGCGTATCGAAAGTTGTTGAGCACGCTCGACAATGGTTTTCCTCTTCTTACTGCTAACCCCATGTGCAATCTCTGCGCAGAACTTGCGATTTTGCATCATTAAAACTTCCAGTTCCTGTAAAGAATCAGTTTTTGTACATGTACTTTATCAAAAAATACATAAATATGTAGCTGCACAAGATAATGTACTTGTTTTCTAACTGTAGCCAACTGGCGTAATGCTATTTATATATTTTGAATAATAAAAACTCTTGAAATACATATTTTCATATTGTAAGAAAAGTCGACATTCGAGATCTTAGTAGAACTAGTTAAATCATCACTCTGTCTATACAAATCCCAAATTCATTGATTTTTAAAAAGATTCTTTTCAAAAGCAACATTTACCTTCACGTTATGTACAAGGACCTTGCGGAAGCCAGTTGGTAGCATGTGACGCGTTTTCTTGTTGCTACCATAACCAATGTTGGGCATCAAGTACTGACCCTTGAAACGCCTGCGGACTCTATTATCGATACCTTTTGGTTTACGCCAGTTGCGCTGCAAAATGTACGCAACATATTTTATACTGTTTATACATACACTTTACGCTAATAATTAGTTAATCTAAAAGACAAATCTCTCTACAAGAATAATAGTTTGAATAAGCAAGATAAATATATAATGTTAAATAAAATTAAATGTGTATAAGTTACTGCATGCTATATAACAATGCTGTACAATGTAGGCAGCATAACCAAACTTTACAAACACGTTTATACGCAATTTGAGGGGACGAAGCGAGAGATATACCTACCTTGAGTTTATCATATCTGTCACTCTGATGTCTGATGAACTTCTTCGTCCTCTTCTTCACGATTTTAGGTCGATAGACCGGTCGGATGGACATTTTGAAGGTTTAGCGTTTCACTGAAACACAACAGACAGAAATCCAAATCATTTCGGTCATAAGTTATTCCGCTTATACCTCGCGCTTAAAAATATTACATTCTCGCACTTCAGAAAATCGTCAACAATTGATCAGTTTTCGTACTATGCTCGTCTCGTTGACGATTATCGTGGAAAATACGGATTTTCCGCGTGATACATACCGCTCGCTAATATGTCGAAAACGGGAAAGGTAGGGAAAGAGGTTAGGGTTAGGATTCACGATTACCCTCGCTGGCCTCGCTTTCCCGTCGTGGAATACAGAACTACAGAGCGGAAACAAGCGCTTAGAGAGAAGCAGGAAGAGCTCTTTTCTCGTCGAGAGTTTGGACAACTTTTGACTAGTCGAAAGAATAAATTATTATCGCAAAATATTTTTATCATTTTAAATAATAAAAATTTGTATTCTTTAAAATGATAAATTAAATATTAAAGAGATATAAAGGTAATAAAAAATTATATATTTTGTTCTAAAAAATGATTTTTATTAAGAATATAATAAGCAATAAAAAAGCGAAGCAAAAAATCCATCGATATCTGTGCGTTTTATTACAATGG